GGGGAGGGGGAAGGAGCTGCCGGGCACTGGGGGGGGTCTCCCTGGTCAAGCTCTGATGCTGTCTGCTGTGCTTTCGGTGGCAGGTTCCTGCTGGCGGTCGCTGTGAGTCTCGCGGGCTGGTGGTGCTCCCTAGCGCTGGGCTGGGCCCCAGAGCAGGACCAGAGTCTCCGGTAAGTGCTGCCCCATGGGTGGAGACTGAGCACCTAGTGCTGGGTTCTGCTCTGCCTGAAGGCCACCCCTCCCGTCCTCCCTTTCTCTCGCCCATGCACCTGGAACATCCTGTCGGGCAGAGTCCTGGGTCCGGGGTGTGTGGATCTCCCAGTGTAACTGCGAGTTTCCCCCACCCTCCCAGAGGTGTATTTGGGGGCCCCCCACAACACATACTAAAAAGTGAATGGTGGCCCCCTTGAGCTGCTTTGCTTATGCCTATCGCCGGCTCTGCTCATGCTGTTTGGGCCCCACTCCGTCCAAGTGGGTCACCATAGCACCCTCTTCCCCTCAGGGTCCCTGCTGAATGGAGCCACCTGGGCCGGGTCGCTCCCTTGGATGAGCTCGTGTTGACCTTTGCCCTCAGGCAGCAGAACGTGGAGCATCTGGTGAAGCTGGTGGGAAGAGTCTCAGACCCTGATTCACCTCAGTATGGTAACTGCCCTGGAGAGAGCGGGGACTGAGGGGGATCTTCCAGAGGGCCTTGGGGCTGTTCACGCAGCTGCCCTCTGCTTTACCACCCCTTCCCCCACCACCACCCGGGGAGTGCATCTCTGCCCAGCCAGTGTAGTTGCTTCTGGGCGCAGGTGCTGTGAAGAGCAGAATCTGACAACATGGAGGGAAACGTGGTGTGCTGGGAGTCCAAGGGTACAAATATGGAGATGTTTCCCTGGGGCATGGGGAGTGCTGGACTCTTCCAGGAGAGAGCTGCCTTACTGTTCTCCTGGGTAGGGGCCAACTAGCTGTCACCTCTGCCCTGTGCTGCAGGAAAGTACCTGTCACTGGAGGAGCTGCGCACACTCGTCCAGCCCTCTCTCCTGACGCTCAGCACTGTGCACAAGTGGTTGGGGGCCTACGGGATCAAGGGCTGCAAGACCATTAGCACCTTGGACTTCCTAGAGTGTGTGATGCCAGCCAGGTGAGTCCCTTGGCCGGGGGGCGGGGCTGGGCTTGCCTCATTAAATTCAGTGAGTCTTTATTGGCCACACAAGTTGTGTCGGCACTGCCTGGGTGGAAGGAGAAGCCAGGGCCCTGTAGTCTGTGTCGGGACAGGGATGTAACCCCTGCATAGGGTCCCATGCTGTGTGCTGGTTGAGCCCTTGGCAGCGCTCGGGCGGGGCGCTCCTTGGGGCGCGGAGCCAGACACCTGCTCTAAGCCGAGCGGCACGGTAAGGGGGCCAGAGAGTTGGAGAAAGGGGACAGTCAGGGACAGGGAGCAGGGGGGGTTAGATGGGTCGGGGGTTCTGGGGGGGCTGTCGGGGGCAGGGGTGTGGAGAGGGATCGAGGCAGGTAGGGAGCAGAGGGAGTTGGATGGGTCGGGAATTCTGGGGGTCCTGTCAGGGCGGGGAGCAGTTGGATAGGGCATGGAAGTCCCAGGGGTCTGTCTGGGGGCGGGGGTGTGAATATGAGGTGGGGGTGTGGATAAGGGTCGGGGCAGTCAGGGGACAGGTAGGGTCCTAGGGGGGCAGTTAGGATGCGGGGTTCTCAGGAGGGGACAGTCAGGGGACAAGAAGCAGGGAGGCTTAGATAGGGGGTGGGGTCATAGGTGGCAGTTAGTGGCAGGGGTCCCAGGAGGGGGCAGTCAGGGGACAAGGAGCAGGGGGGGTTGGGGGTTCTGAGGGGGGCAGTGAGGGGGTGGGAAGTGGGAGGGAGTGGATGGGGGCGGGGCGGGGCTAGAGTGGGGCTTCCCTCCCCCTCTCCCCCCCTCCCCCCCCCCAAGTGTCCTCTTTTTTGATTGTGGAAATATGGTAACCCTAGTTTCCGGTGTTGGCCAAGAAGTGCCCGCAGGTCTCAAGTGTCATAGAGTTTAAGACCAGAAGGGACCACCAAATCATCCAGTCTGATCTCCTGCATATCGCAGGCCACCGCTGCTCTGTCCTCGCAGTCTGCCTTGTGGTCACTCACAAGCCTAAAATAATGCTGCTGAACATATGTTTCCAGGCATGTTGTTTGGTCCATCGCATGTCACCAGGGATTTGGAATTTTACAGATCCTTGGCATTCTGTTAACCAGGCTCCAGGCTGATGGTGATTATGAAAATACTTTTGTAAATTCACAACATTGTTTCATCAAAGCACTTGGTGTAAGGTCTGGTCCGTGTAGATTTAACTGGTATGATGTACATCCATATGTAACTGGTGGTATGTCGTTCCAAAGCACGTCTCATACTCTGTTAGGTAGCTCTTAACAACACAACCGTGCAGTGCATTTGTTAGTGGCTTGGTTTCTCTTCCCAGTGTCACACAGTACTTCTCAGTTGTTTTATTGCTTCCAGTATTAGCTCCTGATACATAAACCACAATTTTCCCCATCTGTACACAATTAGCTATCCCTGGGGTCATTGTGCACATTACTCCAGCAATCCAGTATTAATGTGACTACTTTTCTATGTAATTTGTTGCCTGCTTCCACCCTCAAGCCATCAGTAACAACATCTAATAGTTCCCCTTCTATCTGCTTGCGATTGAGTAGTTTGTAGCCTGACCTTCGGCAGCTGATCACTGCGTGAAAAGTTGGATGCTCAGTGTGACAAAGTGGGGATTTTCCCTTGTTACCTTGTATGTGAGCCTATGTGAATCATACTGTTTCACATGAATGCTGTGTGTGCCTCAGTTTCCCTGTGTATTGCACCAATGTCTAGGTGGTGGGAATAAGGGGGTGTGACTTTTCCGGAGGCTGCTCCAGCTGCCTGTACCAATGCTATGACTGCCCCTTCGTAACCTCAGACCCAGGAAGGTGGAAGCTGTGTAAGCTTCTTGCCCTGGCGACAGTCTGCTCCATGGGAGAGGAGGCTCCCCCAGAGTCCTGCCTGGCTTCGTAGGGAGCAGTTCCAGAGCATCGCCCGGGGACTCCGTGACTCAGTAACAGAAAAGGGAATATTACAATGGTAAAAAAATTGTGTAATTTTCATGTCTGTCTTTTGTTTCCGTTCTGGAGTTTTTTGCTACAAACATAGCCATTTGTGGTTGAAAAACTGTGGAACTTCCTCCTTGTTGTCTTTGGCTGACTGAGATCTGGCTTCCTTTTGATGTACTTTGCAATGGCAATGCGGTATTATCAGTACCTAGAGCCACAGTTGCCAAGGTGAACTGCAATGAATGTCTAGGGTGGAGGGGCACTAGTGCCCAGATTTCTCTGGTCAGGGAAAGCATGGTCAAAGAGACTGACATATATTACCTGGCATTGGGAAAATATGGAACTTCTGTGCCTTTGGCTAAAGTGCATTTGGAGTGGGAAGCTCTGTAGAGTAGCTTAAAAGTTGGGGAGTTGGATTGTATTCCAGTGGAAATGCTGGTAGGAAATGATATTTTGAACATGTCCAAATAGTCATGCTGGGTCAGACCAATAGTCCGTCTTCCAACAGTGGCCGGTGCCAGATGCATGAGAGGGAATGAACAGAACAGGGCAACTTATCAAGTGGTCCATCCCCTGTTGTCAAGTGTCCTCTTCTGGCAGTCAGAAGGTAGGGACACCCAGAGCATGAGGTTGTGTCCCTGCCATATTGACTAATAGCCATTAACTGACCTATCCTCCATGAATTCATCTAATTCTTATTTGAACCCAGTTCTACTTTGGCCTTCCCAATATCCCTTGACAATGAGTTGCACAGGTTGACTGTGCGTTGTGTGAAAATGTACTTCCTTAAGTTTGTTTTAAGCCTGCTGCCTATTAATTTCATTGGGTGACCCCTGGTTTTCGTGTTATATGAAGAGGTAAATAACACTTCCCTGTTCACTTTCTCCACACCAGTCATGATTTTATAGACCCCTATTGTATTCCCCCCTCAGTCATCTCTTTTCTAAGCTGAACAGTCCCTGTCTTTTTAATCTGTTTCCATATGGAAGCTGTTCCATATGCCTAATCATTTTTGTTGCCCTTCTCTATAGCATTTCCAATTATTTCCAATATTCCAAGGAATATTGTTATGTAATCCCCAAAGGGAATGGTAAAGACAACTACTGAGGGGGAAGGGTGGGCACTTCCAGCTCAGCAGAAAGAAGCAGTATGTTTTTCAGGCTGACACCAGTTGTATAGCAGAGGAAAAGAGCATGCCCTTTGGGGGGAGGAGCTAACCTCTGTGACTGCCCAGTTGTTAGCTGCCAGCATCTTGCAGATGAGCAGAGGGCAGACAGTGCTCTGGAAAGCACAAAGAGACACATTCTAGAGCAGTGGTCTTCAAACTGCGGGTCGCGACCCAGTACTGGGTTGCGGAATGTAAGTCACTGGGTCGCGGTGGCTCTGGTCAGCACCACCAACCGGGCCGTTGAAAGTCCCATCGGAGGTGCTGCCCAGCCACGGCAGGCTAGTCCCTACCTGACACCACGCCGCATCCCGGAAGCGGCCAGCAGCAGGTCTGCCCCTGACCTGAGCACTGGCTCCGCACTCCTATTGGCTGGAAACCGGCCAATGGGAACTGGGGGGAGCGGTGCCTTCGGGCGAGAGCTGCCCGGAGCCGCTGGCGCACTTCTGCATAGTAGCCGGACCTGCTGCTGGCTGCTTCCGGGGCGCAGCGCGGTCTGCGGTGCCAGGACAGGCAGGACGCGTGCTTCTGCACCCCTGCTGTGACACTGACCAGGAGCTGCCTGAGGTAAGCCCGTGCCCAAGCCCTGAGCCACCCCTGCCCAGAGCCCCTTCCTGCACCCCAAACTCCTCATCCCCAGCCCAGAGCCCTGACCCCCTCCGGCACCCCAACCCTCTTCCCCAGCCCTGAGCCCCTCCTACACCCCAAACCCCTCATCCCCAGCTCCGTTGGGTGGTGGTATCAACAATTTTCTTCAACTGGGTCGCCAGAAATAAAGTTTGAAAACCACTGTCCTAGAGCAGCAGGGCCCAAAAGTCAGTCACAACGCCCAGGGGGGTCACTCCATCAGGAGATGGGACCCCGGCAATCCTGAGTGTGTGGAAAACACCATTTTACACAATGGCATCCTCTGCACAGTGTGCCCTCAGATGCACCGTACGTGTGCGAGGTCACGCTTTGCGGAAGCTGCCATTTTGAAATGGCGTCCTCCATGCTGTGTGAGGTCATGGGAAGCAATATATGTGGAAATGGTGTCATGCAAGGAAATGTTTGGGAACCACTGTCCTAGAGGGGGCATCAGTGAGGGGAAATGGAGAAAGGTTGTTTGAAGATTAAGTATGTACAGGAAAGTACATACAGGTTTGTGCAGGTCACTGTGCTGTGATTAGGCTCTGAGCCAAAGCTGCACGGCACAGATGCACCCAGGGTTACCGGGCAGGTGGTGACACCCCCCCCCAAAGCATTACCGCCCGCAGGAGACTGGCTTGGCCACAGGCAGTGTGAGATGCCCAGTGCCTGACACCCACGCAACACCTGTCAGGGCAGGTCTAGATCAGTGGCTCTGACCCAGGGGGTACACAGAGCTCTTCCAGTGGGTACATCCGCTCATCTAGGTAGCTGCCTAGTTTTACAACAGGCTACATAAAAAGCACTAGCGAAGTCAGTACAAACTAACATTTCATACAGACAATGACTTGTTTATACTGATCTATACGCTGTTCACTGACATGTAAGTACAAGTTTTATCTTCCAGTTGATTTATTTTATAATTACATGTGTGACGTTGCCCTCCATATGTTTTATGGAAATATGCTTATGAGTGTGAGTATGATGTAATGGGAATATGCTTTATGCAAAAGGTCTCTTGTAAAGTATCATAACAAAGGTTGTAACCTACTGAATATATTCCTCCTATTTGTATGTATGTATCATTCTTGTATCTGAAGCTAGAAATATGAAGTAGAACTCTGAGGTCCTATTGTAGTTATGCAAAGTGTGGGCCATTAACGGTGGTTTAGAATCTTGATGGCTCCCATCAACCAGGACAATTGGTTGTAAATGGCTCTGTTTACTTAGAAACCTTCCTGTGTGCCATGCTGGGCTGACAGCCAACTGACTCCCCCCTTCCCCCCCAAACGCTGCGCCTCTCACGGAGGTGGAGTTATCAGTCGGTCTAGGGGGCGACTTCCCTCAGCTGGAGGACCATTGTGGTGTAGACACTTACAGTTAGGTCAAGATCAGCTGCCTTACTGCCCTAACTCTGTAGTGTAGACCAGGCCTGAAAGACAATGGCCTCCAATTCCCTGCTCTTCTCCTCCATCTCTGCTTATGACATCAGCCGCTCTCAGAGCACTGAGCTAAGGGGAGGCGACCCAGCGTGTGGTGAGACAGAACCTTTGCTTTTCAGTTCACTTAGCTTGTTAAGTTAGGGGTGAGCTTGCGCTTTGCTCCTTTATTTTCGTTTTGTAACAGTCCTGAGCATCATCCCTTGAAATCACTTAAAATCTGGCTCTCTGTAGCTAATAAACGTGTCTTATTGTTTTATCTTAACCAGTCTGTCTGGATTGCGTGTGTGGGAAGCTCTGTTTGGGATAGCAGGGCTGGTGCGTATCTCGTTCTCCTGTGAAAGGACGGACCTTCCACATGCTTGCATTGTTCAGCACGTTTCTGGGAGACGAGGCTGGGGCTAGGAATTTGCTGATGTCTCCCTGTACGTAGTCCATGAGTGACCGGTCAGAGTGCTCCGGTGTGTAGCTAGGAGTGAATGCACATGCTGACAGCTGTGAGCAGGCCAGGAGCCCCAGGTTTGAGAATTATGGGGACACGGCTGTTCAGGGGTCCAGCACGTACCCTGGGGAATGGCACAGTGCACAGGGTGTGAGCAGGGCCATGCCTGGGGGAGGGCAGTGCAGGGAGGGGCAGGCCTGCCTGAGTTCCAGCAGCCCCAGGGACGGAGTGGGGAGCTGGTCCCCCTCTACCCCAGGCTGATGGGTGGTGTTTGATTCTCTCTTGCAGCACGGCGGAGCGTCTCCTGCCAGGAGCCCAGTTCCATCGCTACGAGAGCGGCCAGCGCAGCGCTGTGCGCTCCCCTGTCCCCTACACCCTCCATGAGGACCTGGCTGAACACATTGACTTTGGTATGAGCTGGCCTGGGCTGGGGGGAAGGGCTGCATGTTCCCGGCGCTGTGGAGACCTGGAGAGCTCTCAGGTTCACCTGGTGTGTGAGATGGGCTAACCCAAGCACCTGCTGCTCCCGGCTGGCTCCTGCGAGTCCTCAGCCTCTCCACTCTCCTTCGTGGCTGGGCAGGCCCCTCCTACTCGCAGACATGGTACCAGTGTTCCTAGGCCTGTCCCGGGGTCTCTACTCTGCAGATGGGGAAACAGGCCACGCGTTATTAACTAGCGCTAGCCAAGCCTGATGCTCCCACCCCCACAGAGGGAAGTGAAGGATATGGGGTGATGTTATCTGCCACTATCATGCAGCCACCTCTGGGGTGGGAAGCAGCAGCTGCTCAACAATGAGATAAGAACACTACGGAGCGTTTTGGGACAGGAGGTGAAGGGGAATCTTGGCTCCTCCCTGCAGGGAGGCGCGGAAGAGATTTGGTTGTGTGAGTACGCTGATTCTGGGGTGCTGCTGGGGAGCATCGTATACCCAATGTGAAGGGTGAGTGCCCCCTGCTGCACACCCAGAGCTCCCTGCAGCATAGAGGCCCTGGGGACCCCAAGGGGAGAGCGCCCATCCGGCAGCACCCGGCTCTTTGTGGGCCATCTCTCATCTGCACACAGGCCAGGCCAGCCCAGCCCTGCTGGGGCGGAGGTCTGGGGGGCTCCCAGCTCAGAGTGAATGAGCTTTCACTGCTCCCATGCAGACCAGAAAGGAGGAGGGGCTAGACCAGAGCCCCCCACCCCACTGGAGACACAGGCCCTAACCCTGCCTCATCTGCTTTCTCCTTGGCATCCAGTGGGTGGCCTGCACCGGTTCCCTGCGGAAAGGAAGGTGGTGACCAGAGCCTTGGGGAAGGAGGAGGCGACGGCACGGTACCAGCAGAGGGCAGCTTTCCATCTGGGTGTGACGCCCTCTGTCATCCGCAAGAGATACAACCTGACGGATGGGGACATCGGGGCATTGCCCAATAACAGCCAGGCCTGTGCCCAGGTAACCATGGTGACACCCCTCCATGACAATAGCCATGCTTCAGCCCAGGTAACCATGGTTACACACACACCCCATAACAGTGGCCCAGCCTGTGCCCCAGGACCCACGGGAACCCCCCTGTTGACAGCAGTGGCCAGGCCTGTGTGGAGGCACCGAAGCCGGCTCAGGGACAGCCAGTGGGGATCCCAGCGGGGGGTGTACGTTCCGGACCTATGTCTGGGTCTGGGGGCCCAGGGGAGGGACGGTGCTCTGGGTAGGGTGAGGAATGTCACAGCCTCCCTGCCTGTCCCCCCAGTTCCTGGAGCAGTATTTCCACCCGGCTGACCTGGCAGAGTTCATGAAGCTCTTCGCAAGCAGCTTTGGGCACCGCTCCCGGGTTGACCAGGTGGTCGGGCACCAAGGGCTGGGCAAGGCGGGGCTCGAGGCCAGCCTGGATGTGGAGTACATCATGAGCACAGGTGCCAACATCTCCACCTGGGTCTTCAGTAATGCAGGTACCGGCCCCACCCCCGACACGGGCCTGCGCCCCCCCCACCCCCCACGCAGGTACCGACCCCACCCC